AGGGGAACCCAACCAGACCCAGGCAAGAGGACCTACAGGCCCCCCCCCAAGGCAAAGGAGGTGACGCTAAACCCTACCCGAACATCATCGGGCCACGGGACCGCTCTCACCCTGAGCGTCTTCAATAATGCAACATCAAACAAGTTGAGGTAAGCGTACGTAGCTTCTTGATGAAACGATTCCCAGGGGTTTGGGTCGGGTCGACCCCGGAGTTTTGGTAGAGAAGGTCCCAAGGATTGTTCGGGTTAAACGCGCGGACGGACGGTAGGAGTCCAAGTTGGGAGACGGTGTTTCGTTCGGGGTCGGGTCTTTCGGGCGCTGTGGGGCGGCCAGCTTCGACTTCGCACGGTGTTTCTTTGACCAGTTGACGTCTTCTTTTTTGGAAGTGGAAGGGCTGTGGGGTTGTCCTTGGGTTGGGGGCGACGTTCTTTCATGTGTGGAAGAGTAGTGACATGGGAAACCCGGGGCATGTCTGCTCCAAATTTGGATCTCTTTGTTGGAGACGAAACCCGTCCAAACTCTCTGGAACATCTGCAGATCCCAGCTGGTTCAGGTCTCTATCTATCTGGGGAAGATTCTGCTCCAACGATCTTCCATCAACGAAGGTTCTGAAGAAGAAACCACCAATGTGAACAGCGACGAGTTGAGTGGAGGGAAGATCGTTGGACCTCACCACCGGTGCGCTCACACAACCTCTTTTCGGGTCCATTGCCGGCTGTGGGGCTCTACTCAAACTGGAGTACGGACGTATCCCAAACAGCGGAGCCTGGCTGTGTTGTGACCCGACCTTTTTTCGACCATATCTTTTTCGGGTCTGACCAATGCAAGGGGGGTGAACCATGGTGGTTTTGGGGGAACCGGGGTTTCCATGTGACATTGGCGGTCCGCTGGGCCCGGCTGTCCGCTTAGCGTTCCCCGGGGAACCGCAAGCGGGCGCGGCGCCTCGGCGAGCCTTCCGGCCCGTCTGAGGACATGCTGGAGCAGGAGGAGCAAACGGTGAAGGAACGCTCCAGCCAGATCCATGAGCTCTCGGCCACCCAGGCACACGTGGCGTCCTACGCGTCCTACGGGGCAGAGGGTAGTACTGTAGAGGGTGGTAGGCACCAGACTAGAGGGGCACCAGAGGGTAGTCGAGGGGCACCGGCACCAGAGGGTGGTAGTAGTACGGGTTGGAAGGGAAGAGAAGAGCATCCGACCAATGCGACCGTGCCCATGGAGATCCGGAACTGCAGTGTAAGGATCCCCCCTAGACTGCTCCATGATGCACTGCAATATTATTTAGCACCTATCAAAGGATTTTACCGCAGAAACAGTTCCAATCAACGGGGAATGTGTAAGGATGGATGAAGGTACTCCATTTGGTACGGGTCTTATGAGCCTCCACCCCCGACCTGGCCCCATGAGAAAACCCTCCCGACGCTGTGCCGTTGTTCAACTGCACACCGCGCGGGCTGCATGGACGTCAGGCGCGGTTGCAGAAGATCTCCGACGAATACAATGTCGTGAAGGCCACAGGCAGGAGACGGGGGCAGTGTCATGGTGGTCCTGACTCTGGTGAGTGTAAAGACCATGAGTCCCCCGTGGTGAGCGAGATTGGAAGAAATTTGCAGGGCTGTGCGTTTGTTTTTGTCTCTTGGTTGCTTTCGAGGCTTCTATTCAGGTCCCTTCGCCGGTTGTTCTGAGTGGAGGGAAACCCAGCACGAGGACAGCATGTTGAAATCCATGTCCACTCCAACACCCCGGATTGTTCGTAAACGAACTCCATTTTGCGACCCCCTTGAAATTGTACATGTTTTAAGGTATCCAACCTATATTTAACAATGCCTGCAACTTGCCCTTTATAGTTGTCCTCACACTTGAGTGCGTGTGTGAAAACCATTTAAACATCTAAACGACGTCGAGTTTTGCAACTCGAGACTTGGACCACTTGGATTGGGCCAATGGCTTTCTAAAGGCAAGCAAATGCCTCCTTTCCACGGCGTTGGGGTAATTTCTTGCTGCAAGAGTACCACTTCCTACCCCATACCCTGCACTCCCAGACCCTATAGCACAGCACTCCAAGTCAACTAGTGCAAAACATATTGTGCTTTTGTGTTTTTCCTCCTAACGACACACCTCGCCATTTTGGATACGCAATTCCGTTCCCAAACAAATACACTAACACCCTATGTATACTAAAGAGCGGTGAACTCGCCACGACTGGCGGATTTTGATGTTCAAGTGCATGTGTTGCCTTTCTGGGTGTCCTTCTACACTGGCTATCGCGAAGAAAAGAGAGAGAGAGAGAGAGAGTGTGTGTGTGTGCAGAGTGTGCGTGTGTGGTTCAGACCGGCAGAAACGGGTGAGAGGATGACAGTTGGCCCCAGATGCCGTTGCAGGAAACAAACAGATCTCTCAGCAGCGACGTCCACCGTTCGCCTGCGTTGGGTCCTGGTCCTGGACGTCAAGAGCCGTCCCTACCAACCACTTTGAATGGCCGCGACGGGTTATTGAGCAGTTTCTTCTACGTAGATGACAGTGCTAACCCTATGCACACAGGTTTCAGTTGTAACTTCCCCATGACGTTTTGTGTGATCTCACCCTATCTCACCCTTCTCTCTCACTCTCTCTCCACCACGCATCCTGTCCTTTTTCTCGTTCAGTTGTCTTCACGACCGGTGTTGGCCGGAGGCAATCAGCAGCTCTTGGGCGCCTACAACGAGATCGCCAAGTTCGAAGAGGCCCGCGACCGCGACGGTGGCGCCACCGTCGGCGTCCGACCGCAGCGCTTCGCCCAAAGCGTTTGGGGCGGTGTGTGGGCCCTACCTGGGGAGGAGCGTGTGGGAGACAGGGAAGGGAAGATCGGTCGTTGGTGGTGTTGGTTGGGTCAGAGCTGTTAGTGCCCTATAAGAGGACTATTCGAGGAGATACCTATAGGCATGCTGCTGGTACGTGCCACTCTACGTGGAGTGTGCTGTTTGGCTGGTTGTGCTGCTGAGGTGAGTTGTTTGAGCTCTCTTTGGGATATTGTCTTTTGAAGGAAAGTCTTCTGGGGAAGACATGATTCTCTCTTATCAGCAATCTCTGCAGGCCATGTTTGTTCAAGAATAAAGCCGCTGCGCAATACACCAAGAAAGAATGACACAAAATGAAAGATGCCATGGAATAAAACAGTGAATCCTTTTGAAAGATGCTATGAAAGTCGTTGTTCTGTGTTTTTTTCTGTGTCAGGAGCTTCGAAATGCACAAGCTGAGACGGGTCAGCTCAAAGAGGCATGCGGTCCACGCTTTTGGGGGTTGGAAGTTCCAACCGGAAAGCGGGCGTCGTGGGCTTCGATGAGGTTTTGGTTGGTGGATGCGGTCCTTGGGCTTGATGACGTTGAAATCACGTCTCCAAAGAGGGGTTGTTTCGGCCATGGACGGTTCTTCAAAGTCAATCCTTAATGCATCTTAATTTGCAGATGAAGAATCATTGCAAATAGGCTGTTGCTACCTGTCAGAGATTGTTTTCCAGCACAGGAAAGTCACTTTAGATATGGCAATGTTTTGTTTGTGTCCTTTCGGCTTCCCACACCCTCAATCTGATGGCTGAAAGGAACCACCCAGGCCATGCAGAACCTCACAATTTGATGTCTCTAAGACAATCTAAAACACCATAGTAGGAGATGGGTCGCCCCCAGATTGAGGCCACATCCTTTCTTCCCCTCCTACCCAATCGTTTTGGCCTCATATTTCTCCAGGGTCACCCAGCTATGCTTTGGAAAAAAGAAAAGCTCTTCCTCCCCCCTCCAAAGTACATCAAAGTCACCTCCATCGAATCCATCCTTCCAACGTCTTCCATTCGACTGACCAATGCCGTCGCACCGCGCGCCACCGGCACCGTCGCCCGCGAGGCCGAGCGGAACTTTGCCGCCCAGGCCAAAGCTGACATCGAGGCGCCAAGGGGGTTTGCCATGGCCTGTGGCCACGAGGAGAGAGGAGTTTTTTTTGTTGGAAAAAGGAGGAGAGGACCCAGACAGGTCCTGAGAGGAACAGCCCCAAACTACAGACTTATGTAAAAACGCGCAAAATACTGAGAGTCACCATAGCTTCCGAACATAAAGTACAATTGGGATCCCTTCTTAAAGCCCACTTTGGCCTTACGTGCCTTTCCCAAAAAAGAACGGCGCGCTTGGTCGGGTCACGGGGCGGGTCCAAGGCCTTGGAGTCGAAGCTGAAAGAGTCGAAAGATATGCCGCTGGGCGAGTAGTAACAAGTGCATCGCTAGTAGGAACAGGTGCCTTACTACCAGTAACAAGAAGCTATTAGAAACAAGTGCCTTACTAGTAGTAACAATAAGAAATTAATTAGACGTCGACAGGTCAGTGGAGCCATCGACGTCGACGGGTCGTTGGTGTCGTTGTAAGGCCAGGAGCTCCTAGTAGCATTCTTGCTCCTAGTAGCGATGCCAGGAGCCCCGTTCGTAGCTTCTTGTTCCTAGTAGTACGGCCAGGAGCCCCG